GCTGTGTTGGTTCGAGGACACATCTAAAACCTGCAGGGACACCGGCCCTCGTGGACTGAGATTGCCCACCCCTGGTCTAGGGTGTACCCCACCTCTTGCCCTGTGACAGCTTAGATAAACTCCAGCCCCCAGTAGAAATGGAAATCACCAGAGACCCCATAATAGTGAAATATTGTCACAGTACTTAAGTCACGATACAAGATTTTTAACATTTTGGCGATATGCTAAATATTGCAGTAACATGGATTGCAATATATCATCTTTTTTCAACTGCAAATTATGTCTTTAAATGAATTTTTTTAATCAAAATTTATATTATCCTGTAAGATTAAATTATCTCACTTCAGTTATCTTTTTCTACTGCTAAATCAGAATGTCAAACATACCAACACTGGCACTAAAACCTGCCATTATTGTTGCCATAAGATGGCATTTGTGGATGTAAGGAGGTTTGCTGTCCTATTATTACTTGTGTGATCAAGTCATCAGCCCAATAAAAATTAGCAAGTAGCTTTGTCGAGTTTGTCCAATGTCAATATAATACAAGTTTGCTTGGCTAACGTCATCTCAAGATAGTGGTGCATGAGATGAGATGTTTGTAATATTCCCAGAGTGTTTTAATTAATTAATTTTTTTTCCTTGATGGCAGCTGCATAGAGTCTAGAAAAGCAGGTTCGGGATTCAACGAATGACAGTTTAAAGCCCACAGCTGCTGGGAAAATGTAAATGATGGCGTGGAAAAGCCTTTCATGTTGTTGTGCTGAAACAGGAAAAAAGCAGGCCTATCTGTAAAGGCACTGTGATGTTTTGTCTCTTTTAAGGTGTTTAATTCAAAAACGGCAGAGCTCCTCAGCCATCATCAGGTGGAAATCAAACAGAGCTTCCCAAAAGAAGGGTGAGTGATAAAACTACTGAAAATCCTCCACGTCACACCACACATGTTTTAAAAATGGATTCTTCTCGTAATGTTAAGCTGGGTGGAGGAGGATCCCAAAGAAATCCTGCAGTCAGTGTACGAGTGCATGGAGCGGACATGTGAAAAGTTGATGCAGCTCAACATTGACATCTCCAACATCAAAGGTATGTGCGCATTGGGTTCACGCTGCCACCTGAGCGCCATTTTCATCCATTTCAAAGCTCTGAAACCTCTGCTGTTTAAATTTGTCCAGCTATTGGAGTGACCAATCAAAGAGAGACCACGCTTGTTTGGGACAAAGAGACGGGGGAGCCTCTCTACAATGCAATCGGTACAGTCTGATATCTCTGTGCGACTTGTTTGATGTGTGTCCTACAGACCTGACATTAGCATTGAAATAAGCACTGACTCCTTAATGCCGCCTGATATTTGATATTCTATTTATTCGCTTTTTAAATCTTGCTTTTTTGAATTTATTGAGCTATTTGTATAGATTTATCGCTTAATGTTTTGGCCTGCAGGGATTTCTGGTTTATACACTCCCATGTTCAACACAAGCAGCCATGACTGTTACTACATCAGGGTGCTGTTGGTCTGATTGTGGATGTTGTGAAATAACTGCCATGCCTCTATTTAGTGTGGCTGGACCTGCGGACTCAGTCAACGGTTGAGCGGCTTATAAATAAAACTCCAGGAAGAAATAAGAACCACTTGAAGGTAACGTTGATCCGTGTTTGAGTTTGCACTTTTGTTCTGTTGAGTGCAGTTTAGGTAGGATGGTGTTGGCTATTTTCATCTATTTGAGTATGTAATGTTTTTTAATCCCTGTGTATTTTGTGTATGGCCTCACATAAGAGATTCATATCATTGCCACCTTGCAGCATAAAACGGGGCTCCCGATCAGCACTTACTTCAGCGCCGTCAAACTTCGCTGGTTGATGGACAACGTGGACGAGGTCCACCAAGCTGTGGTCTCGCACCGCGCCATGTTTGGCACAGTCGACTCCTGGCTTATTTGGGTAGTCACAGGCTTCCTTCTTTAAGAGAAGTCATAGACATGTTCTTTGAATAAAGTGGAAAACTATATTGACTTTATTTGTGTTTCTTTATTTGTGGCGCAGTGTCTGACAGGGGGTAAGTCAGGCGGAGTCCACTGCACGGACGTGACCAACGCCAGCAGAACCATGCTGTTTAACATTCACACGATGGACTGGGATCCAGAACTTTGCAAGTATGAGAGCTGAAAGTCACATCATAGTTATTTATGTATTCTATCATATTGATGAAGAGGGTGGGGAAATACCACCTATAACACCTCTAAAATGATTCTGCTGAAGTCTCACCTCTCAATGCCATCAGATATTTTGGTATTCCTATGGAGATCTTACCCAGGGTGAGGAGCTCATCAGAAATATACGGCCTTATGGTAAGCATACGCACACTGTCTCTCCTAATCACAAAATCACTATAATCTGTGGTCATATTAACTTTTTACACTAAAGATTTCACTGTTAGAGTGACTCTAGTGTTCAGAGAGTGCATTGCCTCATGCAGCGAGACACTAAAAGATGATAGATAAGAGTTTTGTTTTGTGTTTGTACTTACCTCAGTGTGCTTTCAGACTGTTTAAGTGCATGAAAGTTGATTGAGAAATTCTTTTAGGCATTTTTTTGTGTGCCATTGTCTCTCTTCTCTCACTGGTAGAAAATATGTTCTAGCCGGGTAAGTAAGAACTCACCATCCCTATTTTCCCTCACATGCAAAGCCAACCCATCCTGCTTTTAACCCGACACAAACACACCATCACTCAGTGCATTTCCAAGATTTATATGAAGGCTAATGTTTCCATTAGATTAAGCGTCAAGCATTTAAAGTAGAGGTGGGAATAAGAGTAACCTCTGATAAGATGCTATTGTGATATCTGTGTAGCCAAAGATGGAAAAACAATGTAAAAAGGTAAAAAGCAAGAATTATGAATAAACTGAAGAAAGACCAGCGTTTTCACTATCGATTTTCACTATGATGTGACTTTAGTAACTAAATATAAAAACATACAGAAAGTGTTTTTACTTTTAGTCTTTGTCACGCTAGGAAAGGTTTATCACTGCAGCCTGCCTGTTGATGCTTTGGGTGGGCATGTGTTTTTTTTTTTGTTTTTTTTTTGGCTGAGCCCAAATGCACATGGCAAAGCAGCTCTTTTTCTTCCACGCACCCATTTTGAGTAGATCCAGAGTGACTGTGCATACACGGAAACTAAATCTTTGTCCTGACTTCAGCCGGGCTCTAAAAAAAACCCATAAACAAAACAGGCTGTTTGGTATAAATTGCTAATGCTACTCAGTCGTATGCTAAGTGTTTAGGCAAATGAGTGACCCACGTGCCACTGGGACACAGGGGCCAACTACAGTCGCCACATTGGTTGTGCTGGCGCTCAGACAAAACCTCTGAATGAATACAGGTATGGGAGCAGAGAAAAACTAAACTGGAATCAAATTGCTTTTCAAAGTTGAAATTCTTGCAACATCTCTCTCTGTATAATCTGCCAATCTCTGACCTTCCACGCTGATGTCTCATTGAAATGTTGGCAGCAACTGACATGATCCCACATGCAGCACTCATGCGAGGTTACAAAAACAGAGAGGTAGATGGACTGGTTCTTTTATAGCGACATGCCTCATTAATACATGCGTTCTTTTCTACATGGAAGTGCTTCTAATCTAACATTCACACACATTTACACTCCCATCGATGCATCGGAGAGTTACTTTGGGGTTAACCATCTTGCCCAACCATATTTTGGCTAGGACACTGGAAAGTGGATCGAAGCACCAACCTTCAAATTAGTAGAAGACCTGCTCCGCCTCCTGAGCTACAGCCACCCAAATAGAAGTACACGATCAACCAAAATACTATCAAATGCAGCTTGTGCCAACTGGCATCTGTTCGTGAGGTCCACAGCTGTGGGTATAGTGGGCCCTTTAAGACGTCTATGTGACTGTGAGTTAATTGCGTTCACAAAGTGCTGTACTCAAATCTCACCACATGTTAAAAAATCCTCTCCATGTTATAATAACAGTGAAACTAATAAGCATCTAAATAAAAAAAAAAAAAAGAATTTTCAAACTGTAAACACTAAATAATGTCAGTAATATTTGCTCCAAAGATTTCCCCTTAGTCATTATAAAGCATTGTTCTTATCACAGCTCATTTTGCTGCCCCCAAGTGACCGATTGCAGGCATTGCCATCAACAGAGCAGAGAAACTGTAGAAGTAGAAAAGACCAGTGAGTGTTTTCACAGCCAGTACACAACCATGTCAGCTCTATTGGAAATGTGCTAGATGGACCCTGTTCACTGTGGTGGCATGCTCCTCGGGTGGTTGTCATTGGTGGACCATCTTCTTCTCCTCCAGCATCCCATCTTCTAAATCTCTTCACTCTTGGGCAGATTTTATTTCACTGACTTTTTATGTGTTCTCTTTTTAAATGTCAAACCGAAGCCACATGTAGGAGTGAAGACATTTTAGTAGATAAGGGTTCACACTCACCCGCCTTTGTTTCCCTAACTGTGATTTCACTGTTGCACTAAACTCTGTACAATTCAAATTTCAGCAGTATGTTTTTGTTATTTGGCTTCATACAGTCAAATAATGATGAATTTCCCCCCCATTTTTGTTTTCAGGCTATTGTTCGTAGTGGTTAAAATTGAGTGTTTGTGCTATTGGTTTAAGATTTTAACAACAACAACAACAAAAAACAACCCAAAAAACAGTTATAATCAGGCATGAGTGTCAACATCTACTTAATACAAGAGACAGTTGATGCCATTTTACTGTTAGGCGCTTATACTTGCTTTCATTTTTTTCTCTTGACAGAAATCAGGGGCTCTTTCAGGTATTCCAATATCAGGGGTAAGTCTGACTTAATTTTTAATTTTTTTTTTTAACATTGTTTTAGTGTTTGTCATGCAGTGTGAGAGGTTAATCCAATATGTGTATGTATTTTATTTAAAAAATAAACAGTGTCTTGGGGATCAGTCAGCAGCGCTTGTTGGACAGATGTGCTTTCAGGACGGGCAGGCTAAAAACACGTAGGTGGTATTTATCGGTCTGCTTTTTATTAAAACTTCACCCCTTTGCTAAAAATCCA